GACCTTGCGCTTGCCAGGCAGGCGCTTTTGCCGCTGAGCTAAATCCCCAGCCCCAAATTTTTTTTTTTGTTTGTTTGTTTGTTTTTTTGTTTTTTCTCCGGTACCGGGAACCGAACTCATGACCTTGTGCTTGCCAGGCAGGCGCTTTGCCGCTGAGCTAAATCCCCAGCCCCTGATTCTTATACCTTTGCAGGTAATCAGTTTCTCTGTAGAAATTTTTTATGATGTTTTATGATCCAGTGATGTTCATGTTGTTTTTAGAATTATTTCTTCCCCCTTTTTGTGTCTTTCTCCCTTTTTTTTTTTTCTTCATTAGGAGGGAATGAACCCAGGGATGCTGTACCACTGAGCACATCCCTAACCCTTTTTTTTTGTTTTTTTGATAGATGATCTCCCTAAGTTTTGCACCAGCTGACCTCAAACTTGGGATTGTCTTGCCTCTGCCTCTCAGTGAGGAGAGTATAGACATGGACCACCACGGGATTTCTGGGATTTCTGCTAGGAAAATTTTGGAAGTATGAGATTAATTCTCTGTATCTTTTAGAGGTTTTTTTTTTGTACCAGCACTCAAACTCACAACCTCAGGCTTGCCAGGCAGGCACTGTGCCATGAAGCTATATCCCCAACAATTCTCTATATCTTTTGCCTCTTCCTTTCTTCATAATTTCTCTTTGAATTTTTGTGGTATACTTTACTTTGACCTTTTCCTTCTAGCCCTCACATTCAGTATTTGGTCATTTTATAAATTAATCCAATAGTACAGATTCTGTTAAATTAAAATGCACATTGTAAACCAGAGAGCAACAATGAAAGAGAGAATAGCTAGTAATCAGAAATAAAATAGAATTTAGAAATGCCTAATTAATTCAAAAGAGGGTAAGAAAGAGTTGAAAAAGAAATAAAAGAACAAGACAAAGAGGAAGCAAAAAGAAGCCAATAGAAAGCTTTCTATCGGGGCTGGGGATTTAGCTCAGTGGCATAAGCACCTGCCTGGCAAGCCCAAGGTCGTGAGTTTGGTTCCCGGTACCAGAAAAAAAACCCAAAAAAGAAGAAAGCTTTCTATTATTTTTTCAAGAATTTCCTTATTATCCAGCTTACTCTCTTTCTCTTGGAAACTTACTTTATTTGGATTTGGAGGTTTCCTCCGTTTTTCTAGGATTTTAAATTAGAATTTGTATTGCATTTCAAGTTTGTGGAGATTTGTTTTATTTTGTTCTTGTGTGTGTGTGTACGTGTGTGTATGTGTTTGTGGTACTAGGGATTGAACCCTGGGCCTTCATACTGAGCTACATCTGCAGCCCTTTTCTTACTGTTTTATTTACAGAGTCTTGCTGCTATACGGTCCAAGTCTACCCCAAACTCACTATTTAGCCCCAGCAAGCCTCTTAACTCTCAGTTCTTTTGCCTCAGTCTCTCAAGTACTGGGATACAGGTGTTTAGGTACTATACATAACAGTATTTCTACTATATGCAGTTCATATGCTTCCATTTATATGGAGATAACAGATATCTTGGAAGATACAGACTCATCTTTAGTGACAGAAAATATATCGTGGTTACCTGGGACCAATGTGGAAGGAGAAATTGGCTGCAAATGAGTAAGAGGAAAGTTTTAGAAAGGGCAGAAATCATCTCTATGCCAACTGAGGTGGTTTTGCCAGTATGTATATCAGTTTCCAAATTCATCAGACTGTACAAATGGTTGTAAATTATTGTATGTAAATTATACCTTAATAAAGGTGATTGGAAAGATAAAAACTAATATAGTTTCTACCTCTGCTGTAGCTATCCATCTACATCCTTGGGTGTAAATCCAGCTGTTGAGTTGGAAGCCTTTAAACTCACCTTAGAGTATAAGGCTCATTCATTAAGTGTATGTTGAGGTACTTATTAGAAAATTACATTTCCTTCAAACATACTGAAAGTTTGGCATGGTCAATGTCCCTTTATTGTTTGCTCTCCCATTTCAGCAATCATCACCCAGTTTCAGAGAGACTTGGCAATCACAAAAAACATTTAGCCAGCTTGGGCAGATTAGCAAGATCTTATCTCAAAACAACAACAACAAAATTTTGTTTTAAGGTCTGTGGACATAGTTTGGTGGTATAGCACTTACCAAGCATATATAAGCCTGTGGATTCAATCTCTTGTACCAAGAAAAAAAAGAAAAATTCCTGTTAACTTCAAGCTACTGTTCCGTAATGAAGTCACTATCTGCATTAGCATGAGACAAAGGAGAGCTACATACACATGAATGTCCAGTATTCTACTAAATTCTCAAGTATTTTTCTCTTCCTAAAAATCTTTCAGATATCACAAAATGGGACAATGCAGAAAATACAAAATGAAGCAAAAGTGTTTGTATTAGTTCTGATTATGAGATTGAAAATTAAAGAGTTCTAGCCAGGTGTGGTGGTTCACACCTATAATCCCAGCACTGGGGAGGCTGAGGTAGGAGGATCCCTTCAAGGCCAGCCTGAACTGCATAGTGAAAACTTGTCTCGAAAAAGATAGCAGCAACAACAAAAACTTCAGAGTTCCCCTGAGCACAAAACAATCATTGAACCATTCCTAAGTGTATTTGTCTGTACTTTATTCAATAAGTTGTCAACAATAGGTAACTAGTAATAATAACGCCCTTCTGTTCAAGCAGATTAAGTTCAGAATTGAGGTTTTGTGTTGCTTGAGAACGCAGCCATGTTAGGTCAGACCTTGAACTGGCTTAGTCCAGTGTTTTATGACAATAGCAGGATTTCCAGGAAGACGGCGGAGCGCTAGGCAGCAGAGAAAGAGCCTCTCTGAGATTTGCTGTCCAGACACTGAAGTACTGGACATGAGGAAGAGAAGGAGAGAAGTGGATTCCCTGAACCCAGGAAGGATCTGTGCCGAAAACTGACAATAGCAATTTTTTTTTTTGCTTGTTTTTTAGGGGGATGAGGTCTTGCTATATAGTTCAACCTGACCTTGTACTCAGTATGTACCCCAAGTTGACCTCAAATTCATGACAGTCCTCTTAGTGATTCTTCTTTTGTTTTGTTTTTGGGACAGGATTTTGCTATGTAGTTCAAAGGCTGGCTTGAACTCACTGTGTAACCCAGACTGGCCCCTAACTCACAGCAATCCTCCTGCCTTAGCCTCCTGACTGCTAGGATTACAGGCATGTGCCACCATGCCTGGCCTTAGTGATTCTTAAATGTCAACTGCTGAGAAAATTAAAGAGAAGTAAATCAATTCTGGAAGATGAAAAACTTCAGAGGATAGAAGGTAGTGATGGTTCCATAGTTGGGTGTGGTTGGTGCACCCTTGTAATGCTAGCACGCAGGAGGCTGAGGCAGGAGGATCACTGAAAATTAGAGGCCAACCTTGGCAACAGTGAGGTCAAGGCCATCCTGCACTATGAAGTGAGACCCGAAACCCTGTCCCAAAAGAAGCAAATAATAAATGTACTTAATTCTGCAGTGTCATCTTTCAAGGTAAGACAAAAACAAAAAACCTGTCTTTTCCTGGTATAGATGAGCTTTATCTTTATCAAAATTTTAGTGGGTTAGATCCTATCATATACTGCAAACTAAAAACATAACACATATTATTTTAATGATACATCAACAAGAGGTACACTCAGACATTTCCTGCAAAGAACAAAAGGTAGAACTAAATTTTAAGGCTATCTTGATGTCTCCACAAAAGAAAAAAATTCAGTGGACTACAGATACAATACAGTGGTACAGTGATTGCCTAGCATGCATAAGGTCCTGAGTTTAGTCCCCAGCACCATAAAAAAGAAAAAGAAAGAAAACTTCTAATAAAGTATCTTTATAGCTTTTGGACACCCAGTAGGGTTTAATCAGCTACAAATTTATGCACATCTGTAATCCTGATACTTGGGAGGCTAAGGTAGGATTTCTGTAAGTTTGAGGCCAACTGTAAGTTTTTCTACAACTTCTGCTCAATGTAACCATATACTTACAGTCTGAACTAGCAAGATCTTGTCGCCAGCAAAAGCAAAAACAAAAAAATTACAAATTAAAGGTGAAAATTCTAATTGCTATTTTCATCCAGATAATTTAATTATAAATTTCTAAGAATTGAAAGGTTGTATTAAAAGCCTTTTTGAAAGACTTCTTTTCTTTGAAACAGGTTCCAATTTATTGTGCCTAAAGAATGGAACAGCAAATATAGACCTGTGTGCATTCATCTTGCTGGAACAGGAGATCATGTAAGACTTTATTCAACACTTTAATACCTAGATAACTTTTTAACATATTCATCTTAATAGATGTGTTTACGGTACTTGTTAAGTATGTCATCTTTTCTCTTCTTAGCATTACTGGAGGCGACGAACACTAATGGCCCGTCCTATGATTAAAGAAGCTCGAATGGCTTCACTGTTGTTAGAAAACCCTTATTATATCCTTTTGTAATACCTGACATTTTTATTTATTTTTATATTTAATTTTAAATATAATTAAAATTATATTTAATTATTGAAAAGAATCCTAGAACTAGCTTTTCCAAACTAGTTCAGTCTTCAGTTCAGAAAATAAGAAAGAATGAAAAAGAGTAAAATATTATATCACGCCTTTAAAAAACTAGGGCTGGGGATATAGTTCAACGGCGCAGTGCTTGCCTGGCAAGTACAAGGTCCTGGGTTCGATTCCTGGTACCCACAAAAACAAACAAACAAACAAACTACTGTAAGCCCTGGCAGGCACAAGGTCCTGAGTTCTATTCCCAGTACCAAAAAAAGCTAATGTAAGGATTATCCTTCTATTGTATAATGATAAATTGTATTTTTATTTCTTGAGGTATACTTACTTTTTTTTTAATAAGTCAAATGCTTGCTATTAAACATTCATGTTTGAAATTCATTTATAGTATCAGTTCAGGCTTAGAACAGTTCTTAACTTAAATTTCAAGATGACAAACTTCACAGGAGAAGAAATGAAACTGACACATAGATTAAAGAAATGTTCAACATTACTGGTAATAAGAAATGTAAAGTGAAAATAATTTTTGAAAATAAAAGACAAGCTGGGCGTGGTGCATGTCTGTAATCCCAGCACTCGGGAGGCTGAGGCAGGAAGATCTTTTCAAGTTCAAGGCCAGCCTGGGCTACAAAGTAAGCTCAAGGTCAGCCTGAATTGCATAGCGAGACCCTGTCTCAAAAAGACAAAGAAAAAGGGGCTGGGGATTTAGCTCATCGGCACAGTGCCTGCCTGGCAAGCGCAAGGTCATGAGTTCGATTCCCGGTACCAGCAAAAAAACAAAAAAGACAAAAAAAAGAAAGAAAAGGAAAGACGATAGCGGGGAGGCTGCTGTATATTGGGCACTCTCATTACAAATGACTGAAAATCAGTTCAGCCCTTTAGAAAAGCATTTTTACCATGTGTTTAAGAGCCTTAAAACATCTTCCATCTGAGCTGGAGGTGTGGATCAGTGGTAGATCAGTTGCCTAGCATCACCTCCAAAAGAAAAAAAAAAATTTTTTTTAAAAATCTTACATTCCTTGGCAGAGTGACTTTGTTTCTGGGAGATGTATTCTAAAAATGAATTACTAAAGTAAAAAAAAAATCTGATAAAAAATACTTATACTGCTGTGTTTATAATTATAAACTATTAGGAATAAATGTGTACACTAGAGAAATGACTGAGTGACCTGGTTCGTAATATTAGAATTTTATGCAGTTGCTTGTGTTTATTGCTGTACCACTTACTACCATTGTGACTTTGGACCTATTAACCTTTTTGTACTTCAGTTTTCTCATTGATTAGTGGGAATAACCTTTCAGTTCATTCAATACTTAGCTATTATAAAACAGTACTTGATTAAATAAGCACTTAATAAGTTTTAACTGTTATTACAAATTTATAATCTGTGAAATGTAGTTATGATACAAAATAGAGGGGCTGGGGATTTAGCTCAGCGGCAAAAGCGCCTGCCTGGCAAGCGCAAGGTCCTGAGTTCGGTTCCGGGTACCGGAGAAAAACCAAAAAACAAACAAACAAACAAAAAAACAAAAAAACAAAATAGAGTATAAAACCATACGGTCTCAGACACAAAATTGTACTTAGCATGCACAAGGCTCTAGATTCACTCCCCAGGAACAAAACAAAAACCACACAATATAATACATATAAAAAAAAACCTTTAGATTTCAAACCAAACATTTGCTCATGAAGAAAATACTAGAAGGGAATACACAAAATATGTCTTGGTGATAGATAATGTAGTTTTTCTTATAAGTGCTTTTCTGTATTTTCTAGATCTCTATTACAAATATAACAACATAAATAAACTATCAATAAACCTCATTTTAAATTTAAGGTGATCTCGCCGGACATGGTGGTGCATGCCTGTAATCTCAGCACTTGGGGGGCTGAGGCAGAAGGATCATTGCAAGTTCTAGACCAGCATAGGCTACAAAGTGAGTTCAAGGCCAGCCTGAACTGCATAGTGAGACCCTGTCTCAAAAAGACAAAAAACCCCAAACCACAAAAGAAATTTAAGGTGAAAAATTTACAAACCTGTGAATATACTAAAAATATCAAATTGTACACTTTAAATGGATTATATAATGTGATTATATCTCAAAAATTATGCAGATTAAAAGAAAAATAATGAAATTTAACATAGTTGGACATGATGGCACATACCTATACTTGCAGGTACTCAGGAAGCTGAGGCAAAAGGATTGCAAATTTAAGGACACTGGGGCGACAACAAGGCCCTATCCGAAACTAAAATTACTGGGACTGTAGCTGTCTGGTAGAGCATTTGCCTACCACAAGACCCTGTATTTGATCTCCAGTACTGCCAAAAGAGTAACAAAAACCTGAGAACTTTTTCATTGCCTGTGGAGGTAGCTAGATACTAGTTATGTCAGCGTTAACTTGTATTCAAACTAAACTATTTTAAATTAATATGTCTTGAGGCAAAAGTTTATTTAACATTTTAAAACTCTCTTTGACCCATATTCTTAAATGGCTGCAGGAAACCCAAGGACCAAGTGTAAGTATATATCACCTTCATTTTTGCAGTTTTCTTAAACAAATTTTTAGCGATATTTAAATGTTTGGTAGCTTTCAGTAAACTATTTCTAAGTTTAATGTCCATGTATTATGGTAGTGTTATAAAAGAATAGGAATATTGACTTTAATCCTTACGATTTTTGCATTTTAAATCTAATGAGCTATTGTAAAGAGTTTTAATAAACTGGATATATTTTATAAAATTATATCTGGACAAATCATAGATTTTTTTTCCTTTTATAGTATATTTACGTTATACAGTTAAACATTCTTATTGTTGCAAAGCATAGTATACAAAATCTGAAGATTAAATATTCTTTCTAGTCTTTTTAAATTATGAACTTTGACAATTATTTTGCATCTCCATAATGTATTATATTGTATTTTCTTTGGCTGGCTGGCTGATTTATTTATTTATTTATATGTTTATTTATTTATGTACATACTTAGTTTTTTAGTTTTTAAGACAGGTTCTCACTGTATATTCTAGTCTGGTCTTGAACTCTGTGTACTTCAGACTGGCCTCAAACATGGTATAGCCTTAGCCTCCCAAGTGCCGGAATTACGGGGATGAGTCACCATGCCCTGCTCTTTGACTTACTGAATAAAAATCTAGGGATGAGCACTACAGCAACAATAAAAGGTCTTTCTGCAACTTCTGCTCAATGGCCAACAAATGCCATAGCACTTGAGGACATGCGGCAAGACTCCTGTCTCTTCCCCAAGGATAGAACTCGACCTATTTCAGTCGCTCATACATCTTCTTCTTGGGCCATTTAAGGTTATTAATGTTCCCCTGCACCTATACCTTGGGAAAGGCTTCTTTGGTCCCACACTAAAAGACAATTTTGGGGCTGGGGATTTAGCTCAGCGGCAAAGCACCTGCCTGGCAAGCGCAAGGTCGTGAGTTCGGTTCCCGGTACCGGAGAAAAACCAAAAAACAAAAAAAAAATAAATAAAAAAAAATAAAAGACAATTTTTATTGGTTCAAGGACTTCTGGGAAGATGGCAGAGGAGTGAACAGTAGAGAAACAGCCTCTCTGAAATTTGGTGTCCAGACACTAGGAAGAGAAAAGGAGGCAAGGATCTGAAGCAAGAATTAAAGCCCTCAGCGGACAAGGCGGTGGCTTTTTCCCTGAGCCCTGACTCACTGTTTGGGAGGGCTGGCTCACACCTGCAGACACACAGTGACTACTGGCGAGCCCAGAAGCCTCTGTGGAGAAACACATTAGTGGACTACAGCAGTGGATGCTGTGGACTGCAGTGGCTGATGAGTAATTCGGGTACATATGTACCCTGGGAGAGAGTGATTGACATGATATTCTACATAGACAACCCCGAAAACTCCACCAAAAGACTTCTAGATTTAATAACCAAATTCAGTACCATAGCTGGATACCAAGTCAACACTCAAAAATCCGTAGCATACAAATAACAAACTCACTGAGAGGGAGGTTAGGGAAACAACACCTTTCATAATAGCATCTCCAACAAATGAAATACCTCAGAATCAATCTAATGAAGGAAGTAAAAGACCTATACATTAAGGAAGTAAAGGGCCGGGGATATAGCTCAGCAGGACAGAGCCTGCCTGGCAAGCATGAGGTCTTGAGTTCGATTCTCAGTACCTTAAAAAAGAAGTAGAAAGACCTATATAGTACAGCCAGGCCTGGTGGTACATACCTGTAATTCCAGCAATTGGGAAACGGAGGCAGGAGGATTGCTGTGAGTTCAAGGCCAGCCTCAGCTGCATAGCAAGAACCTGTCTATAAACAAATAACAAACTATAATACTCTAAAAAGGAAATCAAAGAGGATATTAGAAAATGGAAAGATAACCCTTGCTCTTGGGTAGGAAGAACCAGTATAGTGAAAATGGCTATAATTCCTAAATTAATTTCATGCAATACCAATCAAAATACCAATAGCATACCTCACAGAATTAGAAGAAATAATCCTAAAATTTATTTGGAACCAGAAGAGACCTACAATGGCAAAGAAAATTCTGGGCAACAAAGGCAAGACAGGGGTATCACAGTCCCTGACTTGAAATTATCCTACAAAGCTTCTGTAATTAAAAACAGCATGGCCAAAAAAAAATCAGTGGAACAGATTAAAACTTGGAAAAAGAACTCCAGACACACTCAGCCACCTTATTTTTGACAAAGGAGCCAAACACCTTCACTAAAAATCGTCTATTAGCTGTTCGATGAATTTTTCTTTTTTTTATCATTTTGAAGGATTCTCTGAGTAATTTTTCATAATTTACCATTTTGTCTTCAATTTCAGAAACCCTGTGTTCACAGTGGTTATTTCTGCAGTTTATGAATTCTGCATAATCTCTTATCCCCAGGATCTCTTTCGGACATCTTTTTGTGACCTTTGTATTCTTGATAAATTTGTCATCCATGTTTTTCTCTTTTTTTTTTTTTTTTTTTTTTTGGTATTGGGAATCGAACTCAGGACCTGGCATTTGCCAGGCAGGAGCTTGTGCCGCTGAGCTGTATCTCCAGCCCTGTCATCCATGTTTTGAACCCTTTGGTTAGCTCTTCAAATTTTTGTTTCTTCAATATTCACTTTGGTCGTTTTGTATGTTTCATTAGTTTTTAGTTTAGTTTTTAATTATGTTCAAAGCTGACCTCAACTACATAGCGAGGACCTGTCTTCCAAAGAAAAAGAAATAAAACAAAATAAATAATAATTAAAATGTCTTTGAACAATTTGAACTGGGTTTATCATTATAGATAACACTCTTTACTGCCCCACTCACATCAGTATCTTCTGTGGAAAAGAACAGACTCGGGTGGACTTGAGAATTAAAGACTTCCACACAACACAAAAATTACTCCAGCACGTAGGAGGCTGCGGCAGGAGGATTGCTGTGAATTTGAGGCTAGCCTAAATTACAGAGTGGGACCTGTCTCAGAAATAAATAGGAATAATCAGATACAGATAGGAAACAAGGATAAGTGTGAGTGTGACGAGTTTCGATGGAGGAAAGCGTAGAGAGCGCCTGCCTTGTGAACAGAGCCAGAGGGCCAGGGAGGACTGTCACAAACTCTTTTGAGGCCAGTGTTGTTTCCCCACTTGGCACTGCTCACGGCGTCTGATTCTTTGCACATTATTATCATTTTGGCATATAATAAATAATCATTGATAAAATATGTACATTTGTGTACATTAACAATTTGTGTACATTAACAAGATTTCATTTAGTAACCAGTTTTTGTTGTTTTTGTTTTATTTTTTGTCTTTTTAAGAGAGGATCTCGCTATGCAGTTCAAGCTGGCCTTGAGCTCACTTTGTAGCCCAGGCTGGTCTCGAACTTACAACGATCCCCCTGCCTCAGCCTCCTGAGTGCTTGAGATTACAGGTGTGTGCCACCATGCCTGGCCTATCAGTAGCCAGTTATGTCATTATACCTTTTCATATAATTTGGATTTAGAAAAATTTCCTAATATGGTCACTTTAATAATATATTTTATATCACCATTAAAGGATGGTTCTGGAATCTAAGAAGATATATTTAAGTACTACTTATAAGGAAATACACTGCTGGGTGTGGTGGCACATGCCTGTAATCCCACCTACTTAAGCTGAGAGGCATCACAGGTTTGAGGACAGCCTAGATAGCTCAGCAAGACCCTGACTCACAAAAAAAGACCAGGAATATCACACATTGCTAGAGGGCCCCTGGGTTCAGTCCCTAGTATTTCAAAAAAGAAAGGGAGTCAGGAGGAAAAAAGAGAAAAAATATATATATAAACAGTTTCTAAAAACAGTTATGGTTTAAATTAATTTACCCACACATTTTTATAAAATTGCATTTCCGATATTATATTTATAAATTGTGTATTTTGTGAAAATAAACAGTATATTTAGGATTTCAGGTATTAAGTTACCTTTTTACTTAGCTTTTCAAAAAAAGTGTTGTTTTGCCAGAGGTAATGGCACATGCCTATCATGCCAGCACTCAGGAGGCTGAGGCAGGAAGATCAATGTGAGTTCAAGACTAGCCTGAACTACATAGACCTGTCTCAGACAAAAACAACTTATGTTCTATTGTAGTAATTTCTTTTTAAGGTAGAAGAAAACTAAATTTGTTTTTCTTAAAAAGACCAAAAATTGTCAGTACAGAAATAATTATTTTTCCAGTGCCAGGTATGGTGGCTCACACCTGTAATCCCAGGACTTGGGAGGCTGAGGCAGGAGGATTGCTGTGAGTCCAAGGCCAGCCTGGATTCCATAGTGAGTTCAGGGCCGGCCTGGAATGTACAGTGAGACCTTGTCTCAAAAAACAGAAAGGAAATACTGTTTTTCCATAAATAGTAAGCATTTTTTAAGATGAAGTCCAATTTTTAATTGAAATTCAATAAATGTTATATGCTGTCGAACAGTTACATAGTTTTTTAAAAGTTTTAGGTGATTAATATATAGAACAGTGTTAACAGTGCTCTATCAGTTTATTCCATTGTTTTACTTTGTTTAAAAGAAAAACATTAGCTGGGGGCTGGGGATTTAGCTCAGCGGCACAGTGCCTGTCTGGCAAGCGCAAGGTTGTGAGTTCGATTCCCGGTACTGGAAAAAAAAAAGAAAAAAGAAAAACATAGCTGGATGTGGTGGTGCACGCCTGTAATCCCAGCCCTCTGAAGGTTGAGGCACGAGGATCGCAGTGAGTTCGAGGCCTGGCTGAACTACATAACAAAACCCTGTCTCAAAACCAAAACAAAAACATGAAATGAAGCTGCCTAACATAAATCTGCATATATTAAAATATAAATACATGAAATACTCATTTTCTGTTTTGTTTTGTGAGCCTAGGCGGTCCAGTTTAAAAAATGTGTCTGACCTTTTTGTGATGGGAGGAGCTCTTGTTTTAGAATCTGCAGCTCTCTTGCACTGGCTAGAGAGGGAAGGTTATGGACCTTTAGGAATGACCGGAATATCCATGGGAGGACACGTAAGCCCTTTTTAAATTTATATTTCATTATGATTATAAGACTAGGAAATCATTTATTTTAGCAATTCTCTTTATGGAATTGAGTCTTGGTGAAAGTATGAAGAAGAAACAAATTCTGAACTTTTATTCCAATTGTGGAGTCATGATTTCTTCATATGACATATCTGGATATTTTATTGTACTATTCTACATTAGCAGCTTAGATATTGGACTTCATAATTTTTTAAAGTTGATTATAAAGTTTAAGCTTTGAAGTATTGTCTTATTCTTTTCATTGCTGAGATAAAATATCCACCACCCAAAGTTAGAGGAAAGGTTTATTCAGCTCACAGTTTGTAGAGGTTCTAGCCTATAATTGCGTGGCTCTAAGGCAGGTGGCCTGGCAGAGGGGCATGAGAGAGGAGAACCAGTTCATGGCAAGTAAAAGACAGCAAAAGCAACAAGGGTTGACCACAGCTTTTTTTATCTTCATATCTTATCTAGGCTACTTTTGGCAGGTAGCACTCACGCCCTTAATCCTAGTGCCCTTGAGCCTAGCACTACACTGTGAATTGATCTCAGCATCACACACTGTAGATCCAGCTACATCTGAAAAAGCCCCACCTATGACTTCATGAGACTTTGGAGGGACATCTAGACACAAGCCATAACATTCTGCCCATGGCCCCCCAAAGACTCATGCATATCTCTTTATGTACAAAGCATTTAGTCTAAGAGTTGCCAAAGTCTTTAACAGTGTTAACATTGCTGAAAAGTCTTAATTCTGAGATTTAAGGCAAACTTAGCTGCAAGCCCCTGTACAAATGAAAAGAAAGTTAAACACTTCTAACATTTAATGGCACAAGATAAACATTTTTATTTTAAAAGTTACAATAGGGGAAAACAAGGAATGGGGACAAAGCAATAACAAAATCTAGCAGGACAAACATTAAATCCCACAGTTCTACTTCCAGCATCCCTGGCAACCTGTGGCAGTTGTGAATTCTAAAGGGCATGGGTGGCTCCACCCCATGGCACTGTTGGTGATTGTAGCTCTCATGGCATTTTTCTTTGACTGCCTTTGCTCACACCTTGTAGCTTTTTTTTGGACGAGCCACATTCCTGCCTTTTCTAACCTTCTGGGGTCTCTTCTGTACCTTTGACGTTACATTTACAGCTTTACATACTGCCCTCTCAGGGATAAAATGCCTGCCTTCCTAAGCCTTCTTTTGAAATCTTGGTGGAAACCCTCCTGACCCCACAATTCTTCCATTCTCTGTGGGTCTAAAACCAGCACCACATGCATGACACCAAGGTCTGCTACCAGCTGGAGCAGTAGCCAGCCTTTTTTCTGTCTTGGCTATAGGGGTCCAGTGCCTATGAACTAAATCTTGAGGAACAACTTTTCTAGGTTGCCACCATTCTGGAACATAATCCTCAGGGGCACTTCTCAAAACAAAATTTTTTACTTTCTTTTTTTTGTTTGTTTGTTTTTTTGTTTTTTTGGTTTTTTTCCGGTATTGGGAACCAAACTCACGACCTTGCGCTTGCCAGGCAGGCGCTTTGCCGCTGAGCTAAATCCCCAGCCCCAAAATTTTTTACTTTCATAATGTTGAGGCTGCAAAGGGTGGAGTCCTGCTGCTTCTTGTGATGCCCTGAGGCCATCTTTTTTATTCTCCTATCCTGGGCAGTGAAGATCTCCTCTGCTTTATCTTTGCAGCCCACAGCTTTATTGGAGCTTCCTTTCTGGCCAAACTTAAAACACTTTACATGATTCTGCTGGGCTCTTGGTTCTTGATTCTCATCATAAATCTGGCTAAAAGCCCCCAACAATAGCCATGCCACTGCCCCAACATTCGACTGCCTTGAAATTTCTTTTGTCAGATTAATCAGTCCACTGCCGCCCTTAATCTCAGTCTTAGGCAAAGCCTCTGGACACGAACAAAATGCAGACTTTCTGCCAAGCCATAATACACATTGTCTAGAGTCCAATAGCCAAAGCAATGCTTCTTCCTAGCAGAAAATTCCCAAGTCTAGTCTTTACTGGCAGGATTTTTATCAGTCTTCTGGTCTTTGAGCTCTGACCAGAATCTCCCATCAAGTATTGCCCAGGGCAGCTCTACGTTTTCAGCCAGCATCTTCAAACCTTTCCAAATTCTTCCCCCAAGCCATTTCCAAAGCCTTTTGAACCACGTGGTCAAGTATAGTCACAGCAATGACCCCGCTTCTGGTACCAAATTCTGTCTTAGTTACTTTTTTGTTGTTGTTGAGACAAAATACCTGACACCCAAAGATACGGAGGAAAGGTTTATTTAGCTCACAGTTTGTAGTGGTTTTAGTCTGTGATAGGCAAGGCAGCTTGGCACAGGAGTATTGCAAAGGAGAAACAGTTCATGGCAAGCAGAAAACAGCAAAAGCAACAAAGAATGATCACAGCTTCTTCTTATAATTTAGCCAGGCTACTTAGCACTCACAACCTTAATCTTATTGCCCTTGAGCCTAGCATTGTACCATGAATTGATCTTAGCATCATACATTGTAAGTAGATCTACCACTTCTGAAAAAGCCCCACCTATGACTGTGTGAGGCTTTGGAACATCTAGACACAAGCTGTATGTCTTAGTTACTTTTCTCATTGGGTCAAATTAACCAACACCCAAAATTAAAAGAGGAGGGGCTGGGGATTTAGCTCAGCGGCAAAGCGCCTGCCTGGCAAGCGCAAGGTCGTGAGTTTGGTTCCCGGTACCGGAGAAAAACAACAACAAAAAAAAAAAAACAAAATTAAAAGAGGAAAGTTTATTTAGCTCACAGTTTGTAGAGGTTTCATTTCATAATTGGCTGGTTCCAAGGCAGGGTGGCAGATGGCAGAGGGACAACTGTTCATGGTGGCAGAAGATGGCAAAAGCAACAATAGAGGAAAGACAGAGACCAGCCTGTTTCTGTCCCTTATATGCAGGCTACCTGCCTTAGGGTGGATGTAACACTCACCCCACCCCCACCCCCCACCCCCACAATCCCAGCACTGGACCATAAACCAATCACAAACTCTAGATTTAGCCACCTCCAAAAAGCCCACCCCCCTGTGACCACATGAGGCTTTAGGAGCATCAAGAAACAAACCATAACACCATAACAAGTGTCTAATACCCACTTTTGCTGTTAAATTGATAGCTGAATTTCAAGAAATTTTTCTTGAATTTCAAGAAAAAGCTGAATTTTCTTGTTATCTCTTCACTCCCAGTACCACCCACATATTTTACCTTTGTCTTCCAGAATGTACCAGAACTGACTCTTAACAGGTTTCTGTGTGTTTAGTCTGTTCTCTCATTAGTGTTTTACACCACCACACCCAGCTCATTAGTGTTTTAAAATTTTTCCCTCTACACTATAACAAGAATAATCTTTCTCTGCTCACTCCTGCTCAGAACCTACCAGTTTGCTTTTACATCGTGCTCTAGCTCTGCTGGATGCTAGCTTCCCCTGTCCCCTTAATGCCCTTTTACCTCCCTGAACAACAGCTTTCCCTTGTAATTCCAGTTTAGAGCTTACTTCCCATGAGAGGCTACTTTTATTCACAGCCTTACCTCCATACTGTACCTCCCAGTAGTACTTCCTTTCACTTTCTTTTTCCATTATTTTAATTAACTGCTTTATTATAAGAATTTTTTTTAAATTTTTATTAGTACATGTTTAGAGTATAGAATTGTTACATTCATCATGGGGAGTTGATACATGTAGATAATACAGCTTCTTTTTACATACCCTTTCATTTGTGATTAGTACTTTTCATTGTACCATAATTACTTGTTTAGTTTATATAGTGGTAGCCCTTAACTCCAGACTCTCACCCAAGGGGTTTTGGTGGTGGTGGTTTTGGTTTTTGGAGACAGGGTCTTGTAGGAGTGGCCTTGAACTTACTATGTAGTCCAGGCTGGTCTTTAACTCACGGTGATCCTTCTGCCTCAGCCTCCTGGGTGGTGGGACTACAGGTGTGCACCACCATGCCCAGGCCACCTTCCTGTTCACTTTAACAGTTTGTTTTTCTCCACGAGGCAGTTGGTTCAGTGAAGGTTCAGAATATCCTTTTGTTCACTATGTGGCATATATTAGTTACTCAGTATATTTTTTAAAAAATAGGTATATGAATTCTTCTATAGGTCATTTGAATTATAAAATTGAGTTTAAAAAACTTACTAAAATTCAATGCAACTACCAGTGAAATTAAGGTTAGAAAAGGATTTATTTTCCTACCTACTAATGTTTCCATTGCTACTGCCTAGTGAAGGATCTCCCTACCTCACATCTCAACTTCTAATTAATCTTGAAAATCAGATCATATTAGCTTCCTTGAATCACTTTCACAATTCTGTTCCTTTGCTCAGAACTCTTAATTTCCTAGAAAACAAAGGGACCATTAATCTGATCCTGATCAATCTTTCCAGCTCTACCATTTTCACTCACTCAGATGACCACATAAAACTTACTGACCAGCCAAGCAGAAGGATATTATTGGCTGTACCCCTATCTGACACTGTACTTCATTACCATCTTGATTTTAAACAAGTGGCTCAAAAGATTCAGACATTTCTTGAAGCTTCTCTGACTGCTGTAGCCAAAAGTAACTTTTCCTTCTTAAACACACACATTACCTTATTTTATGCCCGATATATAATCTGCTCCATAGTTCACCAAATTCTTAGCCACCTCAGTCACACCTTAAAGGTGTGAGATTTTCTGGCTGTGATTTTGCTGTATCTGATTGTCACTTAAGTGAGTGCGCTTCGCCTGCTGCCTAACGTCCACATCTCAGCACCCTTGCTCTATACGTAAATGATAGAAAGTAGGTGTTGGTGAATGGTCGTCAAATTCTTGAAATTTTTATTTCTAAGTTGCTAAATTTCAGATTTGGGGAGTGTAACAATGTTATTAGACATTTTTGCCGGTGTTTACAGAGTTTGTGTTCATGTCATACCTTACGATCTGCTTACCACACACATTTCTTAGCATTAAGTATTTTTCATTGTAATGAATAGACAACTTAAAATAAGCTCTTTCAACTGATTTATTATGTTACAGATGGCCTCCTTAGCAGTATCCAACTGGCCTAAGCCTATGCCATTGATTCCATGTCTGTCTTGGTCCACAGCATCTGCGGTGTTTACTACGGTAATTGAATTGCAATTGTTATTTAGATAGCTATGTGTATAATTAAAGGCCACTGTTTGAGGGTCCCCAAAATCAATCACAGGTAGGAGGTGTTAACAGGACTCAGCATATATTTGTATTCATGACCAATACTTAATAATAGCAAAAGTATACAACACAAAACCAATGAAAAGAAAAGGAACACTAGGCAAAACCTGGTGCAAATTTCCCAGAGTCTTCAACCAGAGGAATCTCATAGTTTGTGCTTAATTCCTTCAGCAGTAAGTTGTAACAAAGTGTGCAAAGTGCTATATCCATTGTCTAACCCTGGCAGACCAGGGATTTTAGTCAGGCATGAGTAAAGTAAGCACCTTCTGCCTAGCAGGTACTAGAATTCCAGAAGGAAAGTAGTTTTTTGGGTTTTT